AGGACGTAATGGTGAAAAGCTAGATTTTCAGGAAGAATACGCCTTTGACCACGCCTCCAGGAATAACCCCAAGTAGAGCAACGCAACCCCGATTAAGCACATCAAGAGCATCTGAACGAGTTCAGTCCGGTCAAACTACGACGAGCGGAAGCGAAGAAACGAGAGCAAATCGGTGAAGAAGGGCATCGCGGATTGACTGAAATCGGGGCATAGATGTGACATTGAGCGTAACGAAACATGTGGTACATGGTGTACTGGAAATATCATATAGATGTGCGCCCGCGCGGCTAGCCTGTGAATTCGTTGTGCGTTGGCAATAAAGACTGTGCCCCTACCGCCTCGTTTTCGCTAGAATAAGCAGTACTCACTTCGGTTGCAAGTACGTTGTTAAAGTAATCCGAGGTAAATGTCAACAGCAACGTTTTCGGTCAGTAAGAATAAAAATATCAAATTGTCTTTGGACTTTCCCTTTCGTAGCTTTGGTTACAAGAAGCGCCATGTGCGGTTAAGGTAGCCGCAGCAACCCGTGTGAGTGGGAACTGAACCAAATGTTCAGGGATCGGTGGTAATTTGAATTTACTGGTTCGTGCGCAACTGCAGATGGTTGGGATCAATTGACCAGTGGCTTGCACGCTAGAGATTGATTCAACCTCTACTCAATATCGATTGCTCTGCAAATCGGTATGCGTCAATTAGATTAGTGCACGCCGTAGTCGGTACACGGGAAATACCACAACCATGTAGGGTGGTCGACCCTAGGTAGTACCTAATCAATGCTCTTCACGAAATGGCTCATCGCAGGATGCCAGAAACTCCGTCTTTTTCACCGTCGTTAGGGTAGCCAACAGAGCTCCAGCTCCTGCCCACGGTATTTGTACCTGCACGATCGATGTTTCCGCGACATGGACAATGATTAATTCCTCATCTAACGGCATGTGAGTACCTTGTCCCACAGCCTATGCCAGCACTGCAGTTACCATTGAATAAGTAAATAATTTATTTTCGACGGTGCGAGAGACTGTTCCCACATAGTGACAAATCAATCCGGACTTGAATGAGTTTCTTGAGACCACTCACGTATGCAAGCCCAGTATCCCACTGATAGACAGAATTTAGGCGGAGTGTGTAGGCCGATGGTGTGCATCCGCTCACACGTGATTTAAGCTGTGTGGCAAAGTTTAGCCACACGCCATGTCTTGGCACATCGCTCACACGTGCGCACCCGCACACGGCAGCTGTGACACGTAAAGACAGGCGCTCAGAACTTGTTGCAAGCGTCTATTCAGGTGTACATGTGGCCACCAGCCCTTTTCGCCAATTTGCTGCTGCTTCACTAGAGCAGTGAATCAGGTGTCTGTCGCCAACGTTGCAGTGCAGTCCACCGTTGTCGCCCTCCACAGGGCACAACGCGCGCGTAGCTCCACACATAGCGTATATTCGGTGTGTGTCTGCGGAGTACGAGGAATGCAAGCATGACTTGCCGGCCGGTTTGATCAACACGTTGCACATTCGATAGGTGTACCCCATCCAGTCTACTCACATAGCTATTCGCTTTGGCGATGTACACTGCCTCAGCTACCGAAATTTCGAGGGCTGATCGCAATCCCCACCTAAGTATCCCGACAATATCCAGCTACATTTCATGCTCTGTGCCTATGGTGTGCATCGCTACCGCTGAACCTCATAGTAGAGTCATCCCTCGCAGTTTGCTCGCCGTATGGCATATGCAGACACTTTCACAGTTGTTGCGACTTCGTTTGTGCACGCAGTTAGTCCTCTTACCTACGAGAAGTGAGTCTTTCAGATGCGTCAATGTCGAACGGATTCTAGACGTCAGTCCTTAGTTAGTCAACAAATTACCTAAGAAATTTTTATCGTCCCAATCCATTCCGTAGTACGTTTTCAATGTGGTTTTAGAGGATTCAGAAAGCGATATTTCACTAACAGTTTCGGGTGTCCACTACTCAGCAACTACATCATTGTCTACTTCCAAGAGCCGTTCCCATCTTCCTCTGTGCACGCACAGAGAAGGCGATCCCGACCTATACATGCTTTGGGCGAACTGAAATGTAATGCAGTGCCCCATCTGTGTCCGTCGGTTGGCGAAATATTTGTAAGCTAACCATTGCAGTCAAGGAATGGCAGTGCCATTGCAAAATTCCAACTTTATGGTTACAGGCGCTTCACAAACTAGTTTTTCTGATCCAATTTTATGCTCACAAATGGTTATCCATTTGTTACTAACAACTTTCCAGCCATTTACTAGAGTTTGCCAGTACAAAGTAGTGGACACTGACGACCGCATGGCAACACCCAGTTCCAGTGTTTAGTTCCTATTGCAACGTGAGCTAAGACAAGATACGGCACAATGACTTGCTGTTGGTTGTTTCGACCACTGCCCCAGATTAGTCTCGTGGTTGTGCAGTGTTTTCGGGTGGGCAACACCTAATTTCCACCTGCTTTGAGTACGGTTCCAGTGATCGCAGTGACTAAGGTTCATTTCAATGTGAATCACAGTCCATTACATTGAGATTGCGCGTCGCAATCCAATCACACAACGTGTAGTCCAAACTTGACCCTCCAATTAGTCATTTACCGTTGTGCCAAGAGTTGCCCACCGTGACCCAGTAGCTAAAGAGGCAGAGGTTTCGTCTACTATTCCAGTTAAACAGCGTTTCACCACCACTAACGTGTCGTTTTTTGGTTCATTGGTGAAGCGCGCACTAACTGCAACATTGACCATCGTTTCACGTGAACTCATAAGAGTTCTTAACAAAGATATTCGTTCGCCGTCAACGACTGCAATGACCAGCAACTGAATACAGACCGTACTGGTCTGTAAGCTGTCGCTAACTCGTTATCCGCATCATGACGCAGTACCCATCCGCAAAGGTCATTGCGGTACACTGCCCATGGTGGTGCATAGTCCGATAGTCATCTCATCATTGAGACCGATCACGTTCTAAATTCAACAGCAATTAACAGGTAATTCGGCCACAACCACCGTTATCCAACGTCTCATGTTCAGTCCGCATTGCTCAATGATAACGCGCAGGGAAACATCATGCACATTGATTATTTCACACAGACAAGGCTACGTGCAACATACGCTACTATCACCCACACACGAGGACACCGCTAAGCGTAGGTCATACCACGTGAGGTTGACGAACATGCCTACTAGGTTAAAGGCGGAAGGCATCAGCGGTATGTCGGCACGCAGTACCGCCGCTTCAATGCCGCGCAACCAGCAACATTCGCGCGTCGGTTAAGGAATTGCGAGGGTCGTCCAGCCCATACGCATGCTCGAACCCGCGCCCCCAGATTACAAAGAAGACTAGTGATCCTTAAGGCTACGGTCTTGCTAGCTTCGCTATGGCCAATCGTTGCTGTTTTAGTGTTAAGTCAACTTCAGGTCCGTTGCAGAGTTGCGCACGACAAAAGTGAGCATTGAGACGTGAATTTTGCTCATGCACTTCTGTGTTGTGCGTTTTGATGCCGCATAACTCCGTCTTGTGAGTGGATGTGAGATAAAGAACTTTCACAACCACCCATGAATGCCACATGATTGACCGCATCGCGTTCTAAGGAATATAGTTCATGTTACAGAGGAGTAGTATGAGGAATTGAATGGTATAGGTAGAAATTCGTCACATCTAGACTCACTCAGACAGCCGTCACACGCCCGGAAAAGCACTGTATGCGCGTTTCATCCTTTCGGGAATCGTCAGCAGTGCGCATTCCATCTGGACCGTGGTCTCAACCACGGACTGGTAACAGTCGAGTCGCGGGTTAGAACCCTACCAGGGTCCGAGAAGCAGATGATGGTAAGAAAGAATATGGCCATGGTGTCCAACATTGCTCAAGTGATCATAAAGTTTACACCCTCGAGGAGGTTAATTGTTCACCGACCACATGGGTAAGCTACAAGACCACTGAGAACCGTAGGAAAAAATCTTGTACGAGTAGGAATGGTGCAACAGATCCGGTAAACGTTAGAAGCGTGATCTCGAGGATAAGATTGTGAGGGAAAACGTCACAGTTGGTCATGAAGAGGAGACAATGGCAAAACTGGGTCCTCTAGTTTTTCGCGACGTTCTGGAAGAGAGCTAACGGATACGGATGGCCGCTATGGCTAGGTGCAATGAGGTTACCAATGACAAGCACTCAGTTCTGGCAGTGAACCATAAGGACACAAACGAGATCTGGAGGTGCTGAAAGAAGACAATCTGCCAGGCATACATACAGTGGTTAAAATAGAAATGCGTACTGCTTAGCTCAAAGATCGTACAACTTTTACTACCGCAATGCTCCAGTGTCCGACAAATCCGGAGTGGCGTGCGAACCCAGCTTGCAGATACGCCTTGTTCCTTGAGTCATGGGACCCCGTCGCCAAAATTGTGGTAAGCTCGCTCCTTGGCCTGAAAGATGTCAACTCTGGTAGCTGGACAGATCAAACAAACCAACAATCAGACACGCTGACAACATTCACGGCATCGGTAAGCATGGAACAACCCGGACTCATGTGAGCAGGCGAACCCGACGCGCATTCAGCACCACTTCATGATTTGAAGCGGCCACTATCGCGTGGAACCATGCCATCAGCTAGATGGCATCAATTATCGTTTGACATCCCACACGTGTAAAAAAGCAAGCAAAACATGGCTAAACCTAGCAGGTGGGCCAGCAAACGCGTTAAAATCGCATGGCATTTCGTCAAACATAGCAAGTATAGGCGCCGCCGAACAGCCTTGAACAAAGGATAAGTGGTATGAGCCTGCGAATCAGGTTGTGCAGGCTCCTGAGAAGCACAAGAAAAAGCTTTCAGGCAAGATTCGGATCGCAATAATAACGAACTGCAGGCGGCCATCTCTTTCAGAAGGCGTAAATCAGTCGCAGAAAACGATGATCATGATCGGAATAGCTTCTAGATAAGCACTCTCGTCGCATCACTGTGCGTATGTAGACAGCTGATTGAGAATATGCGAAATACTGAATTCAGAGTGTCCAGCGAAATGTTGTTTGACCATACTGTTTCAAATAAGGCATTTCCTAGATTGAAGGGAACAACAAATTCTCTACCATGTAAAAACGTGTTTAAAGTCAAAAGTAGGCACGGAAATGTGGTGTACAGCACCCAGTGATGACCGGACGTGTGAAGAGCAAAAGCATACGGACAACCGATAATGAGTGCGGTTCACGTGGGGACAAAGGATTCTGAAGTCCTGTGCCCATCGCAAAATTTTTCACCACAAAGTTCGCGTTATAAGTAAAGTGGTGGAGCATAACAACCTGCATAAACCAAGAACCTCAATAAAAGCGATGCAAAGCTTTATTTGATGAAAATGAATCTGATGATAATAAATTCTTGGGTGAGGATGGATGTGCAAAAATATGGTACATAGATGACGGGATGAGTCAAACAAGTGCAGGTCACATTGACTGGGCAGCTGACGGTTCGAGCGGAGTAGGGTCAGAGGTGGTGGTGGCGGTAAAATCGTCCGAACACCGTACTGGATTTACAAATGCGCTGATGGATCTGGCCACTATGCAGTACACCCAGAATTTGTCCGCCGTCGACATAGGGAAAGCGGTGAGGTGCCCGTAAACACAGATGCGATCACCTTTGTTCAGAGTTCGAGACTTTTCTATCAGACTGTTATCGAAAACTTGGATTCTAGAAGTGAAGATGCAGAAAGGTGGTGTAGAAGGCGTAACGACGAGTTTGGAAACCGGAAACAAGTAGATGACGGAAACAGCGAGGTGAATAAGTAACAGGAAATGGACACTACGGTCTCTTTCGGAAAGCACAGAGGATCACTTGCAACCAACGAAGGAAACCAGAAATGATGATATAAAGAGGGCTGATCTGAGACAAGCTACCGCAATACGACGGAACGAGAAATGGTTAGGGCAGAGGGGAGCCGAAGAGCATGAAGAAACCGAGACACCGAACATTGACAAACAACACTTCGTGTCATCGACACTGAAAAAGGAATGCCCTGAGAAGACGTCAAGAAGGGAGAGAGCAACACCGAACCACCTCCACTTCGGATACGGTCCTTGTGATCGGAACGACCGAGATCTACTTCAAAGTGAACCGAGGTCCGAATACAGATTGTGTGTCGCAATCCAACGACACAGCGAGTACTCCAAATTCAAGTTTTAACGTCAAAGATCTATGTCCGATTTGCTTGCTGCCCACTTTAATCCGCAAGGAAGTTAAGCTAAAGCGTCTAAGATAATTCATCGGAAATCGATGGTAGGTAAAAGTGGAAGGCATCAGTAGTACATTGCACTGACGTTTCGCTGCCACGTGACCACCACAAGTCGCGTGTAGGTTGGGTATATTGCGAGGCGACCCGCATACAGGCGGATTCGAGCAGGTGACCTCGGGGCTGCGAGGCATGCGCCTAATATCTTCGGCCACAGGTGGTGGGTAAGCGCGCATGTAACTGTGTACAGTTGGTTGAATGGTTTGATCTACATTCATCACAGGAGTGTCTGTCGCATTGAATTTGGCCTATAAACTGATTTCAATTAGGGCATGCGTGCAGTTTGGTGCGCTTCACATTATCAGGAGTTTAGGGCTCAATTCAACAAAACAACGCTGAAATGAGAAAGATCGTACTGAAGTTATCCCCCCAAATGACGCCAGAAAACGAAAGAACAAAAGATAAACTGAATCAATTTTGTTATGTCGTCACTGACTGTTCGTAACCCACGAGTGCAATGGGAACTCGGAATGTGAGCCAGGACAGAACTGTATGCATGATAATACTGCTCCCTTATATAGTGTACAATGATGGTAAAAGCAGAGCTACAAAAGCAACGGAACCAACCAACAACACAAGCAACGCTGAATTCGAAAGGCGAATGAGAACCCATCATAAGCACACATTAGCTGAGAGTAAGAAACACACTTCAGCCAACTGGGTCGATACAGAAAAGATGTGAAAAGCGAGATAATAAATATACAGAGTACAAAAACAGAAAAGAATTAATGCTAAATGTCATCTTACTCATGCAGAGTAAAATTGCTGTTGGAGGGAAACGCTAAGTAGGAGGGGGAAGAACAAAGAAACTCACAACACAAGCGTCAATCAGTCGGCTCTCTGTCATAGCAGCAAGTGTACTCAATCAAACGTGTTCATCACCCTCCGGACCGCAGGCTGGCAGTCGGAAGACACCAACCGACATTAAGTTCGAAGTGATAAGAACCAATCAGGAGTGTCCGAGAAACCGGTATAAGGGGAAGTGAGACCCTGGAATGACATCCAATTACGAACGACGTATACCGCTCAAACAAATTAACAAAATGATGCGTTGAAACAAATGTTAATAAGTAAACGGTAGCAAAGCGAAAGCCGGTAAGTAGGAATTGCTATAAAAAATATGTCCAATAATCATTTTTCTACAGATTTGTAAAGGACTTTCTGATAGGTCATATGGTTGAAGCGGAAGAATCGAGCACAACAACGGCATGGCGTCACATAGGATGAAGGAATGTTCCGAGAACTCATCACTTAATAGAACGGTGAGCGTCATTCAGACTAGGTTTTTCAGCCAGCTCATTCCTGTTTCTAGGTCAAGTCGATGCACGAACACACATGGCATGCACATGCCAGCACATCGACTCTAGCAACGTACGTTGTTTGCACGACCGAGCTGTGGATGGAAAAAGAGGAGAGGCCAAGTGATGACTTATTCAGAAATGAAGCCCCTTAGTATGAACTTGGCCTAGATTGGACCCTTTCGGATCCCCGGTTGGGGCTCGAGAGACGATGAACACGTTTGGCTGGATGCACTTGCGGATATTGCTAGGAGCCGATCTCAATGGTGTTGGTGTTGTGAGTTGCTTTGTCTCTCCCCTCCCACTTAGCCTCACCTTCCAACCACGATCTCATTTCTGAGACGTAAAATAACTTTTTTGCGTCACCATAGCCGGATGTTAGCTCTCCGGAATGATGTCCATCCGATACCGGTGGCTCAGCTGGAGTGCTCCTGATGTCTTTTTATCTTTCTCGTGTATTGCGGCGAAATAGCTGAGGTGTTTCCCATCTAACGTGTATAATGATGAACAGAGTGAAGTGTCGGTAAATAATACACACTGAAGCAAATGGTCGACAGACATGAAAAGGACGCATCAAAGCCATCTCGGGTGTTCCAGCCGTAACAGGTTGACCGGATGATTTTTGCCGAATATGATAATGACAATGTTAATAAAAATACGAATGAAAAGAAAATGAAATTGCCAGATGAAGTGGTCAATGGCCCGAAACAGGGAAACTAATTCAAGTACGTCGCTGAATTAATTCAAAATGTTATACTGGATAAAATGTCAAGCCATTGGTATAGCGGTCCCCGAGACCCGGTCAAGGTGGACGATAAACCACGAACCAGCTCTGTCTTTCAGTGGCCTTCTTCAGGCTATTTCGCCACGTCATCAATGATCACCTCGGAATCCCATGCACTACACACCTCCGTAATCGGCTTGCAGGTATGCAAGATAGGGGACTAAGCAACCGGAAGCGATCCGAGATAGACAGACACAATAGCGAGGCATCAAACTGCGGGACTACACACTCGGTTCTCCCACTAAACATGGACGACGCTGCGCAAGAGTCTACAGTCAACATCATCAGTCCCCAATATCATCAGTGCACAACGTTGATTCATACAGCAACATTGGCCACTTCGCAGTGTTGTAAATCCTTCCGTTAACGATTAGGGAGTTTATACACGACGGGAACTTAGGAAGCCACGTGAGCATCAGAAAAGTGTCAGAAACTTTCTGCGATACACGAAGTAAGTAAACTGGACAACTAGCTCGAACGGTCCGCCAATAGCCGTGAAAACTGGCGGCGTGTTGACCAAGTCCTGTAGCAGTGAAAGTCGGGTGGTGTCCACCCATAACACTGCACTGCAGGACCGAGTTCCTACTTGTCTGCATTAATCAAGTAGTCCTGTAGCAGTATATTACACTTAGAAAGCGTAACGTACACACGCAGAAGCGTGCAGAGATACGTATAATCAGATTCAGTAGCGATTGTATAATAGCTGGGCCCGACTAGAGATAGCTATGTTGTCACACACTCAGATTGGACAGTCGGTCGCCCGATAGAACTTTGATCTCAGAAGAAATAGGAAACAAGAGAAGTATTCAGTCATTCGGAGCACAGAGCTGCAAAAAAGAGACAAGGTAGCTCCAAATAGTAGCAGATGAACTGAAGTTGTCCATTTGCCTAGAACTAGACTTATCTACTGGACCGGAGCGATGCTCTGAGATTGCGTGAGTCGAAACTACATGGCAGACGCATATCAAACCAAGCTGGAGAAGGGCCAAAAACTAGAAGTGTTTATAAACAGGGGCGGAGTAAAAGTCGGAACGGGGTGATGTGGATGAAGAAGCGTAAAATGTAGGAATTAAGGATGGAATACCTGAACAGTAGCATCCACACTCCTATCCGCCCAGCTCGGTGCAATAGACAGAGTGCCATTTATTATCCTTGCGACAAACAGAGTATCAAAAAATCGTTTGGAGAGCTCACAGAGTTGTATTATACTGGCATGATACTGTAAGGTCGCCTAGGCCTAGACAGGAGAGCGATTAGGGTTCTCAACCAAAGCCTTTGGTACGAGAAACCTGACTGAAAGGCAGCGTGCTTTTGGCACTAGGATACAGAGTTCGTTTCATAGAGTAGGGGCCCACCCTCCCGCCAATCCAAAACATGAAGGGTCAGGAGACTGGCTGGCTTGCCGAACAATCTCCTCGTGGTGCCAGCTGGGTGGTTCGGGATTATTCCGTTCCAGCAAATCGTTCGGCGGCAGTGCTCCAGGATGTTGTGGGTTTTCGCCTGGCAAGCGATTTCCCTATAAAAAGTCACATATGCCCCTTTAACAACACTGTGACGTGGCAGATCTGACACATCACTAAATAAAGTCACTGCCACTTGCTTCATACTGGAGAAGCATTGTATTCCAACCAATAAATGCCGAACTTGTGAGGAGCATTGGGCCCTCGTTTGGCAAAGGAACAAACGAAAGGCGTATGAACTGGACAATCAGTCACCGGCTCTCAATGAGCCCGATTCCCTAAATTCCCTTCGCTGCCTTGCGGACAGGCCATTCGGCCAAAGGCTCGGGGTGGTGTCCTTCAAGTCAACATCCTACTTCGGCTTGGGCAACCGGGTAGTGCCTCATCCTCTGACGAAACCATGGACTCATCCGTGTTGTGTTATTTTAACGATATCTGCACCTTCCTTTGAGTTCCATGGTTTCTGATGGTTCTATGCATATTCGTAGGCTGACTAAGGAGACTAAGCTTGTCTGGCCTCTAACTACTGACCAATCTGGTATGAGTGGCTCTGAAGGTGCAAAAGCACCACCCAGCATAGCCCAATGGATTGTTGCAGCACGTAAACCATCGCACCACGTTAGGATGTAACTGCACTCTTCGAAGACCGGATACCCAACCCCAAGCCACTTATAATGGTACAATCTACTTAAAAATGCCGTTGCCACGAGTCCACAATTTTGGTGGGTAGTAAAGGATAGGTTAAGTTCAAAATTCGATGTGTTAGGGCACCGCAGCATAAAGTAAAAAATGAAAAAATTTCCGCGCATCTCATACGCACAGAAAAATCGCACCACACCTGAGGGCGCTAACATGCCTCAACGTACCTGTGAGTAGCAACCTTGATTCGGTAACCTTTTGGAGCTTTGTAGGAGTTGTAAGTTCGCAAGCTGATTGTCGCATAAGATTTCTGAGGTGACTCAAACATGAACACCGAATTTACGGATCCTAAAAGTATCACCTGAAATAAGGAGCCCGGTCATAAAATGAACACCTGATTCAGATCGTCTAGCGTATCAGCAAATGATTCACAGAAGGAGAAGTGGCGGCAAACTTTGAGCGCGCCGCAAGCACGTCTGTATAGTCCGAGCATCCCAACCTGTGGGTAAATAAAGGTAAAACAGTAGCAATTTCTAGAATAGAAAATTATCAACACCACACCAATATGCAATATCGACGCTTCGCTGCTGCGCAACAGTCGCGTGTAGGTTACAGATACTGCGAACGCCGCCCTGTCCCTACGCAGGCTCGAACCCGCGCCCTCGGATTACAAGGCAGGCATGTTGTCTTCTAGGATACAAAGCAGCAATTTTTAGAATCCAGATATAACCACAAGAAGCGACACTAAAGGATCACAAAAACACAGCTAATAAGCGTTTTAACATGTAGTAGCTCACATTGCCAGTTCATCAGTAACTTGAGGAGATGATTCTTAGTTTTACTACTAAGATGACCAAACGGACGAGAATTAATGGAAGTGTAAAACGTTAACGACCAAAAGCAAATGTCCAAGGTAAAGAGCTAAAATACCGTCATCAATAACAGCAGTGTTTGGGAATGGCCATATTGCTCAAGAACTACACTAAAATCAACCAAAACCATGGACATCTCGCTAGTCACCGCTTTTTGACGACGCGCGCTATCTGTTTCCGCTTCAAAACGAGCACTGTGATTGGCTGATTTGACAAGGAAGGTGAATGACCAAAACCAATCAAGAGTTTTCATCATTTCCTGGTCTGTCTCGTGTTGGCGTGTGGATACATCGCGTGCCCGAGGTCTTGTATTTTTTTCCCGCGATTGAGGCTATGGACTGGTGCCGGAAGTGCGTTGCATTTGTGATTTTGTGCGTGATTTCGTTGTGTGTTCAGTTTTTCCGTGCGTGTTTGTATCGAATTGCGTTCAATCAATCAACAACAGCAGTACATCAGCCACTTGAACTGATGCTTCGCTGTCCTGCAAACATGATGACCTATGAAATAAAGAATAAGAGGGAGAGAAGGGGGACTTACCTAATTGCCCTAAGCAAACATTCAAGGTCAAGGCGCCTAAACCTTGCGTAGACAACATACCGTCACGAACAGCTGGCTATCGTGCAAAGGCAGCATCGACGAGAAAGCTTCCTTGCTGCTTTCACTGCCACGCATCATAATCAGCCATTACCCCGCAGATAACTCAGCACCAACACAATTTAAACAGGCAATCCGATTAGGAGACGGCAGCAGACGCGCCACTGGTGTCCACTGCGAGCCACGTCCTGTAAAGTCTCGAGCCAAGCACAAGGCGAGTCATGTGGACACCAGCACGGAAGGGGAGACGGACCAAAGGGGGCCTAAGTTTAGTCGTCAGTGACTTCATTTCCCGCTGCCAAGTCTACTTCTGTACACCTCGAGCCTTGGGCCACCCTACACCTGGCAGACTAAACAAGGCCCTCCTAGGTAAACGGTGACCAGGCATACGTAGCATGTGCCCGAGCCAACGCAACTTATTCAGTGCTATCTGTTGCTTTAGCGAGATAGCATGATTATCAGTACCTAGTACTCGCCTACGTACATCACCTTTACGGCATGCTCGTGCCATCCGGCTCCAGCAATGCTTCGCAGATAACGATGATCAAAGACTTGAAGCCGCCACAGATCTCCAGACCGAAGAGGCCAAGTCTCACTACCATAGAGCAGAACAGCCCTCACTGTGGCCTTGTACACACGGCCTTTCAGACGGAGGGAAACTCCCTTCTGTCGCCAAAGATGCCGCAGGTTCAAGAAGGTAGTTCGGACTTTTGCAATGCGTGAGCTGACCTCAGTTTCTATGCGCCCATCATTGCTGATGCAGCTGCCAAGATAAGTGAAATGATCAACCACCACGAGTTCCTCGTTAGCAAGTGTCAAAGTGAATCAGTGCCAGCGGCACGAAAACGATTAAGGGATGTGGTCGCGTTTCAGACCTCGGCCTCCGACGGAGGCTCTAAACTAACCGTCCATGACTCGTCCTGCATCCCCTGAGT